GCGCAGGCCGAAGCCCCGGCTCAGAAGCCGGAACATGCTCCGGCCGCGTCCTCGGCGCTCTGAAACCCGGCCGAACGCGAGAACGCCCCGCCCCCGGCGCCGAGCGCTCCCGGGAGTCGTCCTTGACACCCGCGTGCGCCGTGACGCACGGCTACGTCCCCCCTCCTGGTCCCGCCCCCTTGTGGGCGGGGTAAGAGAATCTCCGCCCCACGGCGGTCGCAGGTGCTGCTGCCACGAGGCATTTCTGAGGAGGGCGCGGCCCGGGGTGCCATGGCGGTCACGTTGCCGACCGTCGCGGAGGAACTCTTGAACGAGATGGCCACGGCGGTGCGGGAGAGCGCGCGAAGTAGGGCTGGAGGGCGTGTCTGGGCGGGGCGCGGCGGGGCTGGAGGCGCCAGGCCCGCAGGCCGGGGTCTGCAGGCGCTGGGTGCTGGGCTCCGCCCTTGGGCTCTGCTTAACTACTTCCCTCAAGTTCTCGTTGGCCCTAGGCGACCCTTCCGCAGCAAGCTCAGCTGTAAGGAAGCTCCAGGGCCCAATCCAGCTGGTGGATTTAGTACTTTTTGGAATCATCAGACCTGTCGCTTAGTTTTCTCAGAGAAATTCTGCTGCCTTCAAAAGTTAATACTCTGATGCACTTTTGTTCAGAAAAGCAATATTTCTGTACCGCAGCCCGATGTGTGCACAAATGCTAAAAACAAGCACTAACCCTGAGCCTTAAGGAGTCCAGGTTGCTCTTTGGGTTGCTAACCCAAAAGTCAGCAGTTCAAAACCACTAGCTGGCCTTTAGGAGAAAGATGAGACTTTCCACTTCCGTAGTAAAGAAATTAGTCCACAGGGGCAGTTCTATTCGGCCTTATATAGGGTCCACATCGACTCAATGGTTGTGAGTTAAAGGTTTATGGGACTCCAGGTGGTGGTGGTGTGGTTACACGTTGGGCTGCGATCCGAAAGCTCAGCTGTTTGAAACTACCACCCAGCTCTGCAGAAGACAGGCATTCTATTCTCATTAACAATGATAGTCTCGGAATCACAGGGAGGGGCAGGGTACCCTGGAAGGTCTCTGAACGAGCATCCACTCAGTGGCAGTCAAGTTGGAATTTTGGTGGCGCTGTCGGGTAAGGGTTGGAATGCTAACCATAGTGGGAGAAAGCTGGGGCTATCTGCTCCAGTAAAGACACATACCCTGGGAAACCTAGGGTCGCTATGAGTCGGAATCACCTGGACCACCTTGGGCCAAGGGCAATCACCTGGACCACCAAGGGCAAGAGCACTCAACGAAATCTGATTATAAAAGTGCCCTTTTTTTCTGCCAGTAGAGGACGCTCTGTGACTATACTTATTGAAATCACCTACAAATGATTTTTAATCAAAATGCTTCAACCAATTAGATCTACTCTTCTAAAGTTAAAAACAGTCGCTTGATAAATATTCCTACAGTGGAGTCAGACCTCACAATTTAATTCACTTGGATGGCTTTTGTTTTCAAAGTACAGTATTGCACTTTGAAAGGGTTTCTCTTAACATTTTTTTTTTAAGTTGAGGAAAGTAAGCCAACTACTGTTTTCTCATTTCAGTCAAAACTATTTGGCAGTCATGTTTGGATTACAGAAAAATGGGAGCAAGCTAGTGTGCAGTCAGCTCAAATATTGTTTCTGAGGCTTTAAGATTAGATGAAGGAACCCTGGTGGCCTCGTGAGGTCATCAGCCGCCTCACAGAGAAAAGAGGAGGCTTTCCATGCCTGTAAGGAGTTACAGTCTTGGAAACCCACAGGGGCAATTGTACCCAGCATTACAGGTTCACCATGAGTCAGAATTGTGCTGGCAGTGAGTTAAAATATTTGATGACTTTGAAAGTGAGGGGAGTGCTAGTCAAACATTTGTATTTGAAGGAGCTAATGCATATACTGTCTTGATGGGACCCAATAGGTCCCCCTGATATTCAGGCTGGGGAATAGGGGCCCCTACCATTGATTGACATTTATGTTTGCAGGACAGTTTTCTGCTATTTCAAAATGTTTGTTTTAGATAAACAACCATGCACCATTCTTCTCCCTGGCATTCAGTGGTAGTTTTTTTTTTAGATCAAGATTCCAACCAAATTTATACCTGAAGGAGAATGTACAAAACAGTCCTGAGCCATGTGCCAGGACTCAAATGCAAACAACAAACTTGCTGCCATACAGTTGATTCAACGCATACAGACTCTCTAGGACAGGGGAACGCTGATCCTCAGAGTTTTGAAACTCTATTTTGTACACAAGCAGATGGCCTCACCGCTCTCCCTAGGAGTGGCTCAGGAGTTTGAACAGCTGACCAGCAGTTCACATTTCCCTGCTTTACCCACTGCAGCACTTGGTCTCCATTGCTGTCATGCCAACTTCAATTCATACTGACACCGTGTAGCTGCATATAGAGTTTTCTATGCTGATTTATTGGGAAAGAGTTTCCCAGGCCTTTCTTCAGATAGGCTCGAACCTTCAGCCTTTCGTTTTTT